GTGCGAGTGAGTGTGTGAGTGTGTGTGTGTGCGTGCGAGTGAGTGTGTGAGTGAGTGAGTGTGTGTGTTCGCGTGCGAGTGAGTGAGAGAGTGTGTGTGTGTGGTGTTGAGTTAAGGTGAGTTGTGTCTGTGCTGCAGACGTCGGTGCAGGTTCCCTCTCCAGCTGCAGGAGTCATCGAGGAGCTGCTGGTTCCTGACGGAGGCAAAGTGGAAGGAGGAACTCCTCTGTTCAAACTCAAGAAAGGAGGTCAGCCATGTTTCTTTTTGCTAATATATATACCGAAGTGTTCTGGACTAAATGCATCTTATATTGTAATCATTACGATCATAAGCTGAATTCACTTCCTAACATGTTCATTGTGCGTGTTTAACTGATTACATGAGGTTTACTAACCATTATATTACTGCCATATGGATGATGCTTTAACTCTGACCAATAACAGAATTGTTATGTGAAGCTGCTTTGAAATGTGAAAAGCGCTATGTAAATAAACTTGAATTGAATCGAATTAAAGTTAAGGAAACTTTACTTGTAAACAACTAAACTACTAAACTAACTCTTTATTAACATGTAATACTGTAATTTAATATTTTTATGATGGACTAAGATCACAGTTTAAGATTGTAAGATTGTAAGTATTATACTAATTAAACACAGTTGAAGTCAAAAGTTTGCATACACCTTGCAGAATCTTGTTAGCTGAATGATCCACAGCTGTGTTTTTGTGTTTAGTGATAGTTGTTCATGAGTCCCTTGTTTGTCCTGAACAGTTAAACTGCTGCTGTTCTTCAGAAAAAACCCCAGCTCCCACTAATTCTTTGGGTTTCCAGCATTTCTGTGTATTTGAACCCTTTCCAGCAATGACTGTATGATTCTGAGATCCATGTTTTCACACCGAGGACAACTGAGGGACTCGTATGCAGCTATTACAGAAGCTTCAGACGCTCGCTGATGCTCCAGAAGGAGAAACCATGCATTAAGAGCCGGGGGTTTATTAATTCAACTAATATTTTCTCTTGTGGACTATATGTAAACATCTTGTATGTGAAATATCGTATTCAGGTCAGTACTAAATAAACAATAACATGCATTTTGTGTGATCCCTCTTATTTTGGTAAAATAATTAACATTTTGCAGATTCTGAAAGGGGGATGTAAACTTTTGACTTCAACTGTATAAAACAAAATTTTAGTTTTATTAAAGCTATTAGCTGTAGAAGACCCCCCATTTAAAATATCCGTCTTCATAATAACCATAACCAGAAATAAAGTGTCTGGGCTTTCCGTGCTAGGAAGTGGTTATTATTATAAATGAGTGCTGCTGTGCTGCGGTGGTTTCATCTCTGACTGTGTTTCAGCTGGAGCGGCTAAGACGACAGCAGCACCTCCTCCTGCAGCAGAGACTGCTCCTCCTCCCCCTGCTGCTGCTCCTGCTCCTGCTGCTGCTCCTGCTGCTGGAGGGCCCATCCCCACCAGCATGCCCCCTGTACCCCCTGTGCCGGCCCAGCCCATCCAGTCCAAACCAGGTCAGGAGAGTCCCCCGTTTACAGGATGAAATCTCATCATAGATGCTGTACATTCAGTAGAGGCTGAGATTGGTGTATTGTGATATGTGACCCTGGAGCACAAAACATGTCATAAGGGTCCATTTTTGGAAATTGAGATGTATACATCATCTGAAAGCTGAATAAATAATCTTTCCATTGATGTATGGTTTGTTAGGATAGGACAATATTTGAAAATCTGGAATCTGAGGGTGCAAAAAAAATCTAAATATTGAGAAAATCATCTTTAAAGTTGTCCAAATGAAGTTCTTAGCAATGCATATTACTAATCAAACATTAAGTTTTAATATATTTACAGTAGTAAATGTACTAAATATCTTCATGGAACATGATCTTTACTTAATATCCTAATGATTTTTGGCATAAAAGAGAAATGTATAATTGTGACCCATACAATGTATTGTTGGCTATTGCTACAAATAT